TGCCGCATTCTGTGTCGCAACACTTTCATACCAATACATTGATGGCTCAAACAGCACGACTGGTCCACTTGTTCTATTAAATAATGAATCTGTTATCTGTATATTTCGTGTTTTTAATAGAACACCACGTGCTCGATTGTTAGCCACAGTTAAATTCCTAATCGTCAATATTGGTGTATCAGCAACAGAAGCCCAGTCTCCAACACTCATATTGATTGGACTGGTGAATGTGAAGAGTCGTGAAATTGGACTATAGATTGAAGATGATGCTACTGTTGCATAGACTGTGAATTGTTGTTGACTGCTGCTAAATTCTAGACGTGTGCCAATTCCAACATCAAGTACATCAAACCAATTAAACTCTTCAAAACCCAATGCAGCTGAATTAATGATTTCTGCTACGGTGAAATAAAATCCATGGACATTCAATCCATCATCACCTTGCGCTTCACACTTACTATCGATTATATTTATATAATCTCTACCAGAGATGTTGGTGAGTGATTTTTTTTATCCGACTCGCAAACCTGATCCGTCGAACATCGAACCCGATCCGCTTGACGGGTTGAGCGATATTTTTTTCGACCCGCGGTCTACTCCACGGGTTGACGATTCTTCAACCCGTCGCGGGCTGCCCACGGGTTAATGCAAATTTAAATGCGATAGTATTTATAAAAAATTCGCAAGTTTAGTAAATCGATACATTCGTTCTTTTTATTCGTTTTAATAAAACAAAGATTTTGACCATTAAAATATTATCTTTTATTTTTGAGTACATGCATAAGTATTACAAAATTTGAAGTTCAGAGCAGGGAGATAACGAGTCCAGTGAAAGTAACAGCATATGCTCATTTTCACAATGTAAAAAAAATTGTCAGCTCCTATAATGATAATGATAATAACAGCTGTTCAAAAAATTGAGAATTAGATAGACTATATATCATTCATTCTCGTTTTGTAAAGTGGTCGAACTAATAACAAGTCTTTCAATAAGCTTGATTTTGTACGTGATTTGCGAGCATAATGAACAAGGACAACTTGAGGAAACTGTCTTTCGCCAGTAACTGAACTTGTTAGAAAAGTTTGACTGAGGTATTGACTACAAATTATAATAAAATCTAATACACGTACGAAAAGATAGATTCTTTTGTTGCGTCACTCTGGTCGAAAAAAACCAACAGGAGAAAACGAACGGGAAAATATTAAGAAAAGATGAAGCAGACAGGAAAAATGTGAAGATGCAAAAAAAAACGATTGAACTTCGTATTTTATGCAAGCAAGTTTCGAAAGAGAAGCGGATTCATGTACGTGTATGCTTCAAAACAATTAGATGAACGACTAGAATCAAGATATAGTCAATACAAATGATAGAAAACATTTTGATGTTAAAGTAAGAATTAGTGGAAAAGACAAAACCAATCATCGGTGAAAGTTAGAAATGAAATGGATGCGTGCATAAATCTATGTAGAAAGAATTCATCAACGGGTTGAATCGGGTTCACATAGGAATATAACCCGACTCGAGAAATCCGTGTAAATCTCGAAAATACTAACCCGTTAACCCGTGACCCGTCAGAGGTCCAACCCGGTCCGGGGTTACGGGTCGGGCGGGTTGAAGCGAAACGGGCTAACCCGCCAACATCTCTGGTATGAACCTTCTCTTCAGCAGAACCACACCCACACCCACACCCATACCTACACTCATACCTACGTACATCCACACCCACACCCACCCAAATCTGATTTTAATCAGATTAAAATAGTGTTATCATAATTGAATATAATCTGATTTTCAGGCGGCTTTTTTTACATGGGGTGCGTGTGGTTGAGTGCGGGTGCATGGTGTAAATTTGTGTGCTCTCTTCAGTTATACTAACACTGACGCGAAGACAGAGACGCACACCCACATCTACACCCTATCCACACTCACACTGACACACACCCCTGTCCACAAATATACCCGCACCCACTCTTGCACATCAATACGCAGATCGACATCCATATCCCTACCCAGACCGACGCCAATAACCCATCCACATTCGACTCACATCTACATCCATACCAATCCCCAAGCCCCAACTACACCCAGATTCACACTCTTCAATGTGAATATGGATGTGGCCGCATTGTTGTAATCGCGTCGAAGACCGAAATGCGCTGCTGTACATGCAAACTTGTCTAGATTTACCTCCGTACTCACAGTCTGTTTTAGACTCTAATAATTCTAATTGTGAAAAATTTGTCAAAAAGAAAAATTATTTTGTTGTAACTTATCTCGAGTGCATTGGTTATATGTCCCGATGAAAATGACGAAGAGTACGATGATGGATTTTTTTCTATTGGTCCTCTCTTCAAAATAGAAGGAAATTCTTTTAAAAGAAATTTTCATTTTATTTTTTCATGTAAAAGCTTGTTAGCGCAGCTCCAAAGAAGCTGAAATGTGGGACTTACGTATATCCTTCAAACCTGTTATCCTCATCCATTATTCATAAACTGAACAACACTTTTTGTTCAAATATTTATGACAGCATTGAAATATCGTATAGAATCTAAAACCTTTTGTGCGCGGTTGCTGAGGTCTGTAATGGAGGGTATGTGTGTAATGGGGGACTGTCTGTAATGGAGGGGGTTGTCTGTAATTGACGGGAGGGAAGTGTCTGTAATGGGGAGCAGAGAGGGGGAGCCGCCAAAACTTGAACTTAAAACTTACATTCACTATATTCTTCGAAAATATACGTGAGTTCCACAAAATGAAAGAGAGTGAATTTTAATAAAATTTTGACTTATAAATAGAGAATAAACATAAATTGAATGCAATTTCAGGGGTGAAAGCGATCAAAGTATTCCAAGTGTTTGCTGAGATTTTATAAAAGAGACAAGCAAACAAAAGCGAGAAATATCGAATATGCAAAATTAATAGAGCGCACTTCTGGTGTGCTGTTGTTTGGTGTTGTCGTTGTGTGCTTCAATGTACTAGCCGTTGATGAGTATGATGAGATTTGAGTTGAGGTCGTTGTTGTACTCAGTGAGGTAGTCGCTGTTCTTGGTGATGATGTTGGTGAGGTTGTTGTTTGTGGTATGGTCGTCGTTGTTCTTAGCGAGGTCGTTGTTGTCCTTGGTGAGGTCCTTGTTGTCGAAGTACTAGGAGTGGCATCAGTCGACGTTGATGATGGTACAACATCGATGTTTGTCGATTTTGACGAAAATGGAACTTGAGTTGTTGTTTTCTCCGACATGTCTAACATATTCAAAGCAGTAAGCATCGGTGTTAAATCATACTTTTCCTTGATTGCAGTGAGGATCTTTGAGAAAATGGAGTTGCTGTTACACTCATTATAATCGCATCTCAATTTGGTGAATTGTGCCAACTTCTCTGTAGAGACGTCGATTACGATAGTCATTTGAAGTCCAATACGTTTAGCCTCATCTTCAGTACCACACGTTTGTACATATTCAGTTTCCTCATGATTATAATATGTAACGCAAGCTTTGGTATCACAGTGTTCACTTTTCGAATCATCCGCAAAGCAGTTTACTGTATCAATTAAACATCACACAATGATAGAAAATAATTTCGAAAGATAATTGATTATTGTTTGTAGTGCATAGTCATTAGCAAAAATAAAAAGTTAGGATTCGGATTTTCCATCCGCTTCTAGTGGGGATGAGATAAAATTTTTCCTTAATAGTTGGTTCAAATAGCATTTAAGACATTGTTTCTGATCGATCTGAAAATGACTCACTCGAGAAAAGTCTTGGTTATGTCTCAGATCAGTATTTAGCTAGTATGCTAAACGACAAGGCAAGTCTCAACACAGTCATTTCCGGAAACTCTGATGGATTGAAGTTGAATCCCCTGTGTAGACTCAATCCCCTGTGTAGACTCAATCCTCTAGTGGCTTATTTGACGTCTTACCAATTTAATCAACTGAAAAAACTGCCGTACTATTAAATATTTTATTTAGAGATTCAAGACTGCCGCAGAGAGTACTAATTTAAATCTTTTCTTTGGATATTGGCTATTAAGATACTTGCCTGAATCGGTAACGTCTCCCAACAACAGCGGGTTCACTGTACTAATCAGGGCCGTATACTGTGTCCGATGAAGCCATTGAATATGCGTGTACGCGAACTTCTTGTCACATTCATCAGTAGAGCATGCATATTCAAGGAAGTTAGTGAGTGCGGTTCTTCTATCGTCAACAACCCAGATAATTGTGTCAAATTGAACAGAGCCATCATCCAATGCTCTCTCTGTTAGAAGTGGAGTGAAGCTCACTTCTAAAGATTGTTCAGCATAGTCAAGAAACAGTTCGACACGACACAAATTCACGTCTTCATTTTGACCAACATTGAGCTTTTTTAGCCTTTCTTCAAATGAGTGACCGGCAAAATTAGTCAAAGACATATGTAAAACCTCATCAGTGACGCATGAAAGACCATGGCAGAATGGCAAGATACCAATTAAGCCAAGCACAAGAAGTAGCTTCATAGTACGTCGAGAGAACAAAGAAAATGATGGTATACTATTGAAATAATACTCAATTCTACATGACTTACCAACAGTTTATATATCTTCCAGTTCCAAAGAAAAACTGACTAGGTAGCATGAACATGAACATGACTTTAACATAATAACAGCTATTTTATATTGAAACATGCCTCAATGTGTTCAATTTTTTATTTATTTTTTGAGCATCTGAAATTGATCTCCTTCATGAATATTTATCTACGTAAATTTAACGTCAAACATTTGCTCTGTGATATTATGCTTTG